TGTGGGGGGCACATGGGAATCTCTGTACCTTCCCCTCAGTTTGCTGTGAACCTAAAACTGTTCTGAAAAATAAAGCCTATTTTTTAAAAAATTCAATGGAGCCCAGTGGGACCTCAAGGGGGCAGGGTCCCATTGCAGGCTGCAGGTGACCAAGGGGCGTCAGGAGACCCACGTGCGGGGTGATCTTGGGGGGGTCCCCAGTGTTCGTGGCCTTTGGCCCAGGAATTCCCATCCAGAAACTAAATATGCCCCAAACGTGTGTGTGTTGAGGGGGACATGACCTACATCCCCAGCCACGTCACAGGGGGCACGAGATGGGGGTTCAGAAATGTTTTCTATGCAAAACTTGCGGCCGCCAGGTCTGGAGGGACGGGGTGAGGGCAAGGGGCGCAGGGGTGGGTGCCGGATGCGGGTGGCAGATGGTGCCCTGAGTCATCGTGGTGGGCAGCGCCCACGGGGCAGGCTCTCGTGGGGATCCCCCACCAGGGCGGCTTGCTGTGCCCCCTTGGCTCCTGGCTGAGCCTCCTCCCCACCTCCAGCTTCCTCGGGGGGCCCCACGGGCTTTTAAAGATCTTCAGCGACCCCTAAACGGGGTGGAATGAAGTCCCTGGTCCTCTGTGAAGCCTCCAGACCCCAGAGCCCACACCTGCCCAGCCCTAGCCGCACCCAAACCGCAGGGCCGAGCCCAGCACCCACCAGCATGGGAACCACCCCAGGGCTTAGAGCCCGGAAGCCCTGTCGCACCCCCAACCCAAGCAACTCCTCGGTACTCGGGAGAGGTGCTGGGAAGGGCAGCGAGGAGACGCCAGGGCAGGGGTTGAACCTCGAGGCACCTGAAGCTCGGAGCGGAGGGGGCCTGCCCAGGTCCAGCTCTGATCGCTGGGCCAGTTCCAACCTAGATCTCCTCAGACAAATCCGGTCACCCTGGAGGGTGTGGAGGACAACTGACGGAGCTCTCAAGCCACAGAAAACTCACCGTGAGACTGTCCCCATCTCTCTGAGTCTCAGTTTCCCCATGTGGCACCAAGGGGTTCTGGGGCCCTGCTTCCTCCAGTAAGCCTAAGCCTGCCTGGATTGCTCAGCCTTATTTCCCTCCAGCTGAGGCACAGGGGGAGCTGGAATGCTGGGGGCGGGCGGGGGCCTCGGGACTGTGACTGTGGCTGTGCCCATGGGCTGGAGGTGTAGTGACGGCCGCGACATGGGCAGACCCAGGAGACCTGGTCCGAGCCCCTTCGAGACCGGCAGCCACCGCCTCACCTGGGGCAGCGGGTGTCCCTCTTCTGAGGGAACGGACAGGAATGAGCAGTTGGTGACTCCACTTTGTTCTCAAGCCCCTCCTCAGAGAAAGGGGGTCCCTAGGGTGGCGGTGGCTCCAGGCTACGGGGGGCTCAGTGGGTCGGGAGGCCTCTCTGAGGAGCCCCGGGGTCTCTGTTCAGCTCCTGGGTGGGGACGTGGGTCTGAGCTGGGGCAGGAAGAGAGGTCATGTGGCCAGACCTGGACGCTGGGTAGAGGTGGAGAACTGGGCAGTTCTGGACCTTCTGCCAATGCCCATCTTAAAGACCTGAGAGGTCAGGTCTGTGCCAGCACAGGGTCGCCCCAATTCAGGTAAGTGCCCAATACACTGTGACCCAAGAAAATATGATAAATCCCCTATAAATGACGCTTGCCAGACCATGCCGTGCGTCAGCTGGTCCTTCTGGAAGTAGGGACAGAGTTAGAACCTTCTGGAAGTGGTGTAGGGGGTGAAGGTGCAGGGGAAGAAGCCAGGCTGGGCAGGAGGGCGTTCACTGGGGGGGTCTGGGCAGGGGAGAGGCCGGCCGGGCCCAGGAAGGCAGGCTGTCTGCAAGGGTGGCTGCCAGCCCCTCGTGACGGCCACCACATGCCACGGACGTCAGAGGACCCAGGTCCTGTGCCCATGGAGATGGCGGCTGTGAGCAGGGCCCTCGAAAGGCAAGCATGACACCAGCGAAATGTCAGCGCTGGCGTCGGCCTTCCTGTCCCAGTGGCTCCGGAAGGCCCTCCCGGCCCTGCCACCGCTGCCAGCTAGCGAGTCTCCGCGACCTGGCGGTGGGGCGAGAGGAGATTTATATCTGCTTCTCTGTGTTTTCCAATGTTTTTTGAGCATTTTGCGTCATTTTTTTCGGTTTACACAAGTAACGTGTGTTCATGCAGCCGAGGGTCCACGGGGAGCCTGTGGGGGGCGTGGAGAGAGCCCACTGGGCACAGCCGACAGGGCAGGAGGGGGCACCGGGTGGACCCTGGAGGAGGGGCCTGAGGTGGGGAGTGTGATCAGGAGCAGCGTAGAGGCCAAGAGGGGGCAGCCGACCTCCGACCTCCACAGTGGCGGAGATGAAGCAGCCAGGCGGGGCCAGGGGAAGAGCTGGGACGTTTGGAGATGAAGTCCTTTCCCACAGCCTTCGACCTTCCAGGCCCCAAGGACCCAGCGCCCCCAGCATCCCAGCTCCACGGCCCCTCCTTCAGGTCCCACAGCCTCCACACTGCACTGGGGTCTGTGGTGCCAACTGCCGCCTGTCTTGAGGGCAGGGATGACATGGTTCTGTTCCCTGCCGAATCCCGCGCCAGATGACAGAGACTCCGTGGACGGACACTGCTGACTGAACGCCGGGGTGGCTCGGTCTTCCCTTCGAAGCAGCAGGCAGTGCCAGGGACGGGTTTGAGGAGGAAGAGTTTGGACGGGCCTGTGGGGCGACTCTGGGGAGAAAGCTGGCCCAAGAAACAAGGAGGGGGCTGGGGGGCACCAAGGCTCTGCCGAAATCAGAGCCCCAAGTCCTCGCTGACCGAGTGTCCGTCAAGGTGCCTTTGGCTGCAGGACACCGGCAGCCGTGAAGGGCGTTCGCCATCTGGCACAACACCCTGGCAGGAGGCGCAGAAGGCAAATCCCGGTGAGCGGGACTGGATGGCCTCGGCCAGTGGGAGTGGGAGGGGGTGGCGGGAGAGGAAAGGAGCCGGAGGGGAGCGTGCCGGGCTGCCTGCTGGGAGGCTGTGCGGTCACTGAGCGAATCTGCCAAGGCCGTCGGGGGCTCTGGGGCTCTCTCACCAGTGGAGCCGAAACCTCTTAGCACCTGGGTGGTGTTTTCTTTTTGATTCGTGGCAGCTCTTAAATGCACTACAAACACCGAGGGCGGGGGCCTTCGCCCCTCGCTGTGGTGAAAACGTCTGTCGTGGCTTGTGGTTTCCCTCGCGCTGGTTGGTCACACGCCCGCTGAGCTTCCGCGCTCGATGGGGGCTTCCTGTGCCCTTCTGGCCTCTGTTCAGGGGAGCTTTCCAAGCCAGGGGTGTGCAGAGAATGGTGTTTCACACGTGTGTACCTGTGCTCCCGGGACGCTGGCCCGAGGAACCACCTGCGGCCCAGGGCAGGCACTGACCCCGGATGGCGGTTGGCTCACTGCCCCTTCCTGCTGCCTCCACACGACGAGCACACTGCACGGAGCAAGAGCCAGGAGCGCCGACCCTCAGCTGAAGCTGCGGCACCGTCCTGGTGCACTTTGCTCTGGATGGACGCTCCAGCTTTTCCACTTTTGGAGCTTTTTGCATAAAGCTGCTATGCACATTTTTGTCCATGCCCAGGGTGGACCAAGGGTCCAGAAACCTCCCGTTTCCCAAAGTGGCTGCTGCATTTCACGCCCACCTGCAGGATCCAGAGTGTGAGGGGTGGCGCTCGGCCCTGGGCCCCTGGCGTGTACCAAGCCGGCCTTGGGGGACTTGGGGCCCAGCGGGCATTGGTGGAGGGTCTCGGGGGTCACCACATACTCAGGTCTAACAGAGACCAGAGCGATGGTCCTCAAATGCCCCCTTTGGGACAAGGGCCTCCAGCTCCCACCATTAGCACTAGCCCAGGAGCCCTGCCCACGCCCTCCTGACTGGCCCCAGCACAGGGCCATGGGTCCACTCCCCCAGGTTAGGATCTGGTCGGATCAGCGGCTCCTGGATTTGCCTAACAAGCTGCTGGCATTGTCCCCTCCCCCCAGCACATTTATCTTGGCCTCCCCCACACAAGGACTGGGACAGGCCCAGAGAGCAGGGAAAGACAGCAGCCCTGGAGTCTTGGAGTGGTCCACTTGAGGCCCCCACCCCAGACCCCTGCCTCGGCCAAAGACCCCTCCCCAGCCAGTGGTGGGCATGGCTCTGCCCCTGTGGGTGTGTAGCCCACAGCCCACTGGTGCCCAGTCAGAGACCCACATTTGCCAACGTCGTTTATTGGGGCACCACCCTGAGCGGGGAGTATGCACAACATACATAGCAGAGCCCAGGGTGGGGACCAGCCCAGGAGCACCTAAAACGGAGCAGGGCAGGGTGACAGGCGCCAGGGCCATGGGGTGACAAGGTCATAGGGTCATGGGGTCATGCACGATGCGGCCATGGGGTCATGAGGTGATGGGGTCATGGGTGATGGGGCGATGGGGCATTGGGGCAATGGGGTGATGGGGCAACGGGGTCATAGGGTGATGGGGAGATGGGGTCATGGGGTGGTGGGGTGATGGGGTGTCGGGGTGATGAGTTGATGGGGCGATAGGGTGTTGGGGTGATGGGTTGATGGGGCAACGCAGTGCTGGGATAAGGGCAATGGGGTGATGGGATGATGGGGGACAGTGCGATGGGGTGATGGGGTGACAGGGTGATGGGGTGATGAGGTGATGGGTTGATAAGGTGATGGGGTGATGGGTTATGGGGAAATGGGGTGACAGGGTGATGGGGCGATGGGGTGATGGGGCAATGGGGTCATGGGGTCATGGAGTCATGGGTGATGGGGCAATGGGTTATTGGGGTCATGGAGTGGTAGGGCAATGGAGTGACAGGGCGATGGGGTGATAGGGTGACAGGGCGATGAGGCAATGGGACAACGAGGTGATGGTGCAATGGGGTGATTGGGTGATGAGGTGATGGGGTGCAGCAGCCTGCACCTGGGAGCACTCCCACTGTCCCACAAGGTCCAGTGGACCCTCTGGGGCCCCAGCCTGGAGAGGAGGTGCCGACTCCGACACCAGCGGACGCTGCTCAGATCTTGGCCAAGGTGGAGTCTGCATCGGCGTGCTCTTCTTGGATGGGGGTCCGGAAGCTGTTTCCCCCTGGGGAGGAGGAAGGAGCGATAGGTGGGAGGTGGGCAGGGGCCTCACCCCTTCGGGAGGCAGCTGGGCTGGGTCCACAGTGGCACTCACCGGGGGGCTTGGGGACGTGGGGCGGCAGCCTCCAGGCCCTGTGGTGCAGGAACAGGGCCAGCACAGCGGCCACAGGGGCAAGCAGGCCCAGGCCCAGGCCCAGGCCCAGGATGGCGGCCAGCTCAGGGCCTGTGGGGAGGCGGAGCCTGCTGGGGTGAGGTCCACCACAGGAAGGGGGTCCACCAGAGGAGGGCCCCAATGAGGCTGGAGGGCAGCTCCCCCCATCCCTCCCTCTCCACCCCATCTCCCCTTTTGGGTTCGAGGAGGGCCCCACTGGGGTAAGGCCGGGCCCTCTTACCCCTGGGTGGCTCTGTGGGGGATGTGGAGGGCCCCTGTGAGGCCCTGGGCCAGGCAGTGGTGGGCTGAGTGGTAGGGGGCCGGGCTGGGGGACCCTGGGTCTCCCAGGGCAGTGTGGCTGGGGGGCTCCTGTCCTCACAGACAGCATCCGAGCTGTTGCTGGCTGGCTGCAGTGTGCGCTTTCCCACCAAGGTGCAGCTGAGGGGGACAGAGGGTGTTGATCAGGCCATAGGCCCCCTGAGTCCTCCTGGATTGATCAGATGGGCCCAGGACTGAGAAGATGTGAGGAGCGATGGGGGCTCCCCCTGGGTCATTCACGCAGCATCAGACTCCAGACCAAGGGCAGCCAGGAGGGGCCAAGGACCCTGCCTAGTCCCCTACCCCCTAAGGAACCTCACCCCACCCTGCAGGGTCTCCAAGGCCACCTGCTCTGCCTGCCACGCCCTCATCCCCCCATTCCTTCTTGCTCCCCCTGACCCCCACACTGGCTCTTCTCTTTCTGCCCCCACCGTGTAAGCCCTCTAGGGACAGGGGCCTCCCAGCTGTGGATGAGTGAGGGTCTCACACACGCCTGGGGCCTGGGCTGGATCACACAAGCTCCCCACTGCAGCCCAGCAGGAAGGCCGGTGGGAGGAGCAGGAGGGCCGGGCATTGCGGGGGGCAGGTGTCATGGGGGACAGGGGCCATCGTGGGGGGCAGGAGCCAAGAGCTCCCCCAGCCAGTGGCTTCCTGCTCCAGGACCTGGCCCCCGGTCCCCAGGCCCCCAGGCTGCCCAAGCCCTCCAGCCCCAGGACACTCACTTGGTCCAGGGCTTGCAAGCCTGGTTGTTGCCAGGGGAGAAGTGTCCTGGTGGACACGGCGCACAGTCTGCAACGAAGACAGTAGGACAGGCTCAGCCCATCTGTGGCCACCGTGGGGGCCTGGATGCTGCAGCCACTGGGGGCCAGGCCTGTGGGCACTCACCCTCCACGGCCCTCAGAAGCCCCTCCCTGCCCACATTCTGCCCACTGGCCCTGACCCGGGATCCCCCACCCCCATCTTGATGGACCTGTTGGGGGAGCGGCACTTGGCCAGGCCTGGGGTGACACTGTGTGATATGGGGGGGTGACAGCATGTGACACGGGGACATGTTTCTCTTACACGGTTCCCAAGGCCCCCACAGGCACATGCTGCCCCCCACCCGGGCTCACCGACTCCGAGCTTGTAGCCACGCTGGGGCTGAGTGCCAGGCCTGCAGCGGCAGAGGGTGTCCTGCGTGGGTGTGCATCTCTGCTTGGGTTCGCTCCCACTTCCTAAGGGGTCAGGTGGGGCGGGCACAGTCAGCGGGGCAGCTGGGGTGCTGAGCAGGCTGGAGGTCTGGGGACCAGGGTCCTCAGCAGCCTCCCCAGGCCCTCCGCCCCCTCGCAGCCTGCTGGCTCCCAGGTCTCTCTGATCCCTGGACATTGGTTCCCTGCTGGGCACATAGCCACAGGGCATAGCCTATGGCAGCTCCGGCCTCCCTCACCACCCTCCCTCCTGCCTGCAGCGGGACCCTCCATGGCCCTTGGCTCCCAGGTCTAACCCCCGACAGGCCACGTGGCCCACACATGCTCCACCCCAACTCCACGTGGCCTCGGCACCCCCACCCCGGGAGGAGGGAGGTGCCCCTGGGGGATGCCTCAGCTGCTCACGGGACCCCTGGGGTGGAGCAGGCCCCCTGTGGTCTGGGGTTTGCTTCTGCGGCTGAGGGGCCCCACGGGTGCTGGGCGGGGCCGGGGTGCGGCGGGCAGGCGCTCACTCTGGTTGCACTGTGTGCAGGGCTTGCAGGCCTCATAGTTTGTGGCCTCGTTGTAGAAGCCAGGCTCACACGGCCGGCACACGGTGTCCTGCTTGCCATGGCAGCGGCTCTCCATCCCGTAACCTGCATCGGGAGGCCAGGGTCAGGACCCGGTACAGCCTGGCCCTCCCATCCTGGCAGCCCCCGCCTGGCCTCTGGCTGGCCCACTATCCAAGCCTGGCTCCAGGTCACCCAGCACCCAGTCACCAACCCTGTCACCCTGAGTCCACTTGCCCCACAATACCCACACCCTGTCACCCCATCTAAGTATCCCGTTCCCATGTCCCTGTCTCCCTGTCCCCATGTCCCATGTCCCCATGTCCCATCCCCTCATTCCCATGTCCCCTATCCCCTCATCCCCATGTCCCCTGTCCTCTCATTCCCATGTGCTGTCCTCATGTCCCCATGTCCCCCATCCCCATGTCCCCCCTCCCTTCATCCCCACGTCCCCTGTCCCCTCATCTCCACATCTCCTATCCTCTCATCCCCATGTCCCCTGTCCCCACATCCCATCCTCATATCCCCCTCCCCATGTCCCCTGTCCTCTCATCCCCATGTCCCCCATCCCCATGTCCCCTATCCCCTCATCCCCACGTCCTCTCCTCATGTTCCCATGTCTCTTGTCCCCATGTCCTCCTCCCCTCATCCCCATGTCCCCCATCCCCATGTCCCTCATCCCTATGTCCCCCATCCCCATGTTCCCTCAACCCCATGTCCCCCATCCCCTCACCCCCATGTCCCCTGTCCCCATGTCCCCGTGTCCACGCAGGTGCTCCTCCCCCACTCCGTGGCCGGGCCTCTCACCTGGATCACACTCCCGACAGCACTTGCTGCCACCGGGGTAGGTGTTCCCAGGACAGTTGAGCTGGGCCGCAGCGCCCAGCACAAGCCCCAGGAGCAGGAGGGCTGAGCAGGGCGCCCTGGGCCACTGAGCCCTCACACGCATCCTCATCTCCGCCGGCGGTGCAGGAGTCTGGGGTTTTTCCTTGCAGGATGTGGCTATAAGGGCTGCGGGGGAGGGGTGGGGAGGGCGGGAGGAGGAGGGGACCAGGAGGAAGGAGGCCCCAGGAAGGGCTGGTGCCCCCCGACCCAGGCTGGTGGCCGGAAGGCAGCTTATCTGGGCAGCACCCCTCCAGGCTGTGGGCTTCTCCTCTGCCCTGGGCCCCGGGGTCCCCCACCCCTCAGCCATGCCCACTGACCTCAGGCTCAGCCCAGCCGGCAACTAGGCACCAACCCAGCCCCCTCCCACAGCATGCAGCCCCGGGGCCACAGGGAGGACCCGTGCCAGGGCCAGCAGGTCCTCTAGCCCATCTGGTCTGCACCACCCCACACACCAGACTCTCCCACTCCCGTCTCACTGGGGAAGTGGAGCCTCTTTGGCAGGGCACCCTGGCTGTCCCCTACCCTGCCCAGCCTGGCCGAGCGGCCTGAACCAGGGTGGATTCGGGCCCCTCCACATGGCTCACTCCTTCTGGGCACCCACCTTCCCTGCACAGAGCACACCCCTCAGGGGGAGCCAGGGGCTGCTCCTGCCACCCCTGCAGAAGGCCACATTCACACCAGTCCTCACCTCCTCAGCTAAAGGGTGCACAGCACATGTGGGTAAACCGAGGCCACACAAGGGCTCAGGAGACAGGCCCCTTCACAGTCTGGACCTTCCCCACAACATCAGCTGCCGGGGGAGGGTTGGCAGTGCCCCAGGCTCCAGAGCGTGATCACCGGCGCAGGTGTCCTCATGACCAGTGCCCACAGGGTGAGTGTGTGAGCGTGTGTGGGCACGTGTGAGCGTGTGCAGGCGTGTGCTGGTGTGTGAGCAGCTGAGTGTGCCTGAGCACAGCCAGTGTTAGGACTCACTTGAGTCCCTGAATCTACACGTGGAAGCCTCGACCCCAGTGTGGCTGTATTTGGAGGTGATTAGGGTAGACGAGGTCATGAGGGTGGCTCTGATCCCATAGGACTTGTGCCTTTATAAGCAGAGGGCGAGACCCCAAGAGAGTGCACAGGGGGATGGCCATGTGAGGACACTGGGAGAGAGGCCTCAGGAGAACCAGCCCTGCCCACGCAACCTCGATGTCAGCCCCCAGGACGGGGAAACAGCACACGTCTGTCCTGAAGCCGCCCCGCCCCCCATTCTGTCAGCAGACTCAACACACTGCTGAGCAGGTGCTTGCCCTGTGTCCTGGGTGTGACACGTGCTGAGAGCATGTGTGAGCCTGTGTCCGTGGGTGCGTGGCACACGTGTTTCGAGGGCCCCACGTGCTGGGACGGGTGTGTGGCTACTCCTGTGAGCACCTGGGCCTGTGTCTGGGGGTCCCGTGAGGACAAACCGCTGGCACCCGCTCTGAACTCTTGGCCAGGCAGGACCAGGAGGAGGGCTGTGTCCCTGAAAACTCTGGGGCGCATCAGGCTCTCCCCGCCGTGGTCTCAGGACTTCCCACAGCACCGCGGAAGAGGGAAAGGCTGGAAAGACCCACTTGACCATCCCACGGAGTGCTGGGCGTCCTCAGACGTGGACCGGACAGTCCCAGGACAGGTCAGGAGGGCCTGTGTGCCGGGCCACTAGGGTGTATAAAGGGAAAGAGCACATGCACACACACATATGCACACATGCATGCGTGGAGCCCGAGGCAGGGGAGGCTATACTGTGTCGTTTTTGCACCTTTTAAGTCTTAACCGTGGGATGGGGTCATCTGTCCAACCATTCACTTAAAATCGTTCACTTAAAAAGACTCAGGTGGGGGCCCCGTGGCTTAGCAGTTAAGTGCTCGTGCTCTGCTGCTGGCGGCCTGGGTTCGGATCCCGGGCGCGCACCGACACACCGCTTCTCCGGCCATGCTGAGGCCGCGTCCCACATGCAGCAACTAGAAGGATGTGCAGCTATGACATACAACTATCTACTGGGGCTTTGGGGGGAAAAAAGAATAAATAAATAAAATCTTTAAAAAAAAAAAAAAAAGACTCAGGTGAGTGAGCTGGGCCGTGGCCGGGGGCCACAGTGGTCCCAGCAATCCACGGATTGATCCGTCGTCAGTGATTTCCTGTTGGAGAAGCGGAGCACATCGTGCAGGGGTCTGCACAGCGGGTGGGCGGCAATAACAACGGGGACCCCGGAAACTCCATGGTTCCCATTCACTCCCCTGGTGCTGGGCGAGGAAGGCTGTGCTTGCCTATTTCACGGGGAAGAAACCGAGGCACAGGAGGGTAGGGACTCTTGCTTCCTGCTTCCCGCATCAGTCGGGAGCTGGGCTTTGAACCCGGCTCATCTATACCACCACCCTGGCCTGGGAGCAGCGCTTCTGAGCCACTTTCTCAGGGGGCACAACAGGCTCTCCTGGTCAGCAGGGCCTCTCGACCTCCTGATCCTCAATTCTTCCCCATTTTCTCTGAATTGTCAAGCCCTCTGGAGATGGCTCTCCCCCATTTCTAGGACCTCTTCCTTGTCTGTAAAATGGGGACATGGGGAGGCTGTGCCCTGAGCCACCTCCGCAGCATCTGGAAGACTTGGATGCCCAGACCTGCCCTCTGGGAGGGGAGCTCCCTGAGTGAGGCCCCCGACCACGCTCAGTTCCCCAGTGTCTGAATCTCATGATCACAGGTGCCAGGTGTATCTGGAAGGGTCAAGTGGAGCTGGGACACTTTGGTATAAAAAACATTTAGTCTTTGTCCCCAGTTCCTGGCACATGGCTCCTAAACCTCCTGGGATCTGGGGAGTAAGAAGAGTCTCCGGGATGCTAATGGGGCGACGGGAGGCTGGGGCCCTGGATGGCTGCTGAGGATGGGGGCTGGTCCCCAGAAAGACCAGTGCAGGACTGGAGGGTGGGAACTGCTCCCTCTCCTCTCCCCCAACCTCCAGGGGGAGGGGGCTGCGATGGAGCTGATGAGCCAGTCAATCGCGCCTGCGTGTGAAGCCTCCATGAAAACCACAGGCTGGCTGGGCTTCGGAGGGCCTCCAAGCTGACGGTGCCAGGAGGGGAATGGAAGCCCCGCGCCCCTCCCCCAGTCCCTCCATCCGGCTGTTCCCACGTGGCATCCTTTACACTAAACTGCTCACAGTGAGTTAAGTGAAAAACAGAAAGTCTTGGGCGGGGGGCCTCCCGCAGGGACTAACGGGGAGGGCTGGGAATTCCCCACCAGCAGGAGCGCGGGCACAGGTAAGAGAGCCGGCCCGGCCCACCTGCGGGAAATTCCGCCCCAGCTGTGCCAGGCAGGGCGGCCGATGGGCGGGGCGAGACGGGGCGGGGCCCACGGCAGGGTCAGCCCTCCCCGAGCCTCCAGGGTGAAAGCTGGTCCACGCAGTCTGGCGTGCCTGTGCGTGTGCCCGTCTCCCGAGGACAGTGAGAAAAATCTTTTCTTCTTGCCAACTAGACAAACTGTAGTAGCCCCAGGGTTGAGGTAACGCGGGGTCTGGTGGGAAGCGCTCCACTCTGGGATGACTGTCTCCTTCCCCGGGGGCCACATGGGGGCCGCCCGCCCTCTGGTGCCAGTCTCCACTGCCAAGGCCCCGCGTGCCTGGCCCACGAAATTGGAGACGGCTCATGCTGACCCTGGGGCACAAACACCGTGCGTCACCCACAGGCCCAGCCTCCATCCCGAGCGTCCCGCCAGGCCCGCGCTCAGCCCACACCTTTGTCGGAGTGTCACACACTGCTTACCACCAACCGACCCACACAGGGCTGGCCCACTGCGGAGACCGCCCTCCCGCCACACACTCCGGGCTGTTGTGAAAACAGTCTTTCCTCCTGTTTGTCTGGAAACCAACCCAGGTGTGACCGACCACACGCTCCTCCTCCGCGGCGGCCCTACCCCACGCTGCTCGGAAGTGGTCCCTGTGACAAGAGCTGGTCAGACGGGCAGCTCTGAGTGGCCCCCCCACCGCCCCCACCCCACTGGCCGAGTGAGCTGTCCACTGAGGCGCCACGGGCCATGGCTCAGGGCTCCGAGAGGGTGACCGTCGTGGGGGCTGGGAGGCAGGCAGCTTGGTGGGCATGGGGGGTCAGGACTCGCAATCATTTAAACTCTCACAGCTCCATCCCCACACAAGCACCAGGCACGGCTGACCCCCAGGAAGGGCCCGGGACAGTGAGCAGCAGTGACGCAGGTGGTGGGACCTCAGCCAGTGGAGGTCAGTCGCTCCGATGGCAGCCAGCCCGGCCCCTCCTCTGTCCCCCACACCTAGCCTGGACTCCAGGCAGCGGCTCCTCCCGTCCTCCCCTCAGGCAGTGGCCCAGGGCTCTCCTCAGATCTTCCCTTCTCTGCTCAAAACTCCCATTTCTCCAGGCCCATCCGGGTCTCTCCCAGGCTGGGCTCCAGGGTCCTGACGTCAAAGCTGCAGCCCAGGGCCGGCCCCATGGCTTGGCGGTTAAGTGCGTGTGCTCCGATGCTGGCAGCCCGGGTTCGGATCCCGGGCTTGCACCGACGCACTGCTTCTCCAGCCATGCTGAGGCCGCGTCCCACATACAGCAACTAGAAGAATGTGCAACTATGACATACAACTATCTGCTGGGGCTTTGGGGGGAAAAGAAATAAATACAATTAAAAAAATGTTAAAAAAAAAAAAAAAGCTGCAGCCCAGACCCCCAACTCCTGCCTCTGCCCTGCAGAAGCCCCCTCCCACAAACCCCCTCTGTAAACACATCCTTCACCATGGCCCCCGGGACCCTGGTCCCACCTGGACACCCTCCGCCGACCCCTCCAGGCCTCGGAGCCCATGGTCCTGCCTTTCGCCAGTTCCCTGATATGCTGCCCCCTCCGTTGATGCCCCAGTGGGCGGCTGGACCAGATGGGAGCATCCTGACTCTCATGATGCTTACAGGCGCCAGGAAGCCCCGTGTTCCAACCAGATCGCCCACCTCAAGAGCTTCAGATGGAAGCCACCTGGCCACAAATGTTCCAAATTATTGCTCTGTTCTTTTCACAAAAAAAATGAAGCTGGGAGAAAAAGGCAACTATATTTTAAAGTAAATTAATGTGACTCTTGTCACAAGGACTTGTGTTTTCTCAGAGACTGAACGTGTGTGACCAGCGGTTCTGACAGCCCCTCCCCAACATGCGGGAGGTGCAGCCACCCACCCCGGCTGCCGGCTACTGGTTTCCAGCAAAGCAATTCTAACATTGTCTTCATCTTTCAGTTTTCAAGGAAACGGCAAGAGTTGCGTTATTTCCCACGGTGTGGTGAGCCCGCGGAGCCCCGATGTGGTCACGCCTTCAGCAGAACGGCTCCCAGTTCTCAGAAGCAAGATGCAGCGATTACATGGGACTCCCGCGCTGGGGGGACAGTGGGCTGCGTCCAAGCACAAGTCAACCTGTGACATGGGTGGCAGAGGGGACACCCGGCCTGCCCACGCCCATCTTCAGTGAACCTGGACCCCGCGGCGGCGGTGGTTGGGAGCAGCAGAGAGGGAAGGTTCTGGGTGGCGATGGGTGGCCGTGGTGGCACGGGGAGCGAGGGCGGTCAGAACTCCTCATGCACATTGCGGGCATAGTCCATCAGCTTGCTGCCCGTGAAGAACTCGCTGTACTTGAGCACCTCCTCGGGCTCCAGGTGGTGGTTCTGGTTCTCGTCAGCGATGGCGATCATCTGCTTGGCCTCGTTGAGGGCATTGTACTCGTTCATGGGGTCCATGTAGTCCTGCAGGGACGTGGACACCGGTCAGCGCGCCCCCTCGCACCTGCCCACGCGCTCCCTACAGTGCTGGGGCCTGCTGACCACAGGTGTCCTCCTCACGACCTCGAGTCCAGTCCATACTCAGGACACCCACCTGGAGGGCGCCCCTGCCCCACATGGACCCCCAGCAGCGAGGGCACCTTCTGCCTCAGGGAAGCAGCAGGACTTCCTATAACCAGCTACAGAAAGTGACTCCTTGTTTAAAACATTCCGTTGGCTAATAGCAGGACAGGGATGAGGGCATGTTCTGGAATGTTCTGGAAGGCGGACGCCAGGCTGCCTTTGCTGTGTGGGCATTGCCATGGGGGGCGTGGGAGACATGTCACCTCCTGGTCCTTCTCAGGGCGCCCCCACCATGGAAGGGAACGACCAGGGTGGGGAGAAGGGAGGCCCGGCCAGAGTGTGAACAGCCTAGGGGAGCCGGGACGCTGGCCCAGGAGGTGGGGCCGTGGAGCAGCCACCTAGGGCCTGCCAGTGGGTCACACGGCACACAGACTGAATCAGCTGCCAGGACCTTGGCACAGACAGGAATCCCTGAACCAGAGGTGCCCGCCGGCTATCAGCAGGAATCAGAGAATTCTGGCGTAAAACAAAATGACTCATCGAGCAAAGGAAAAAACAAGCCCCACGCAGCACCTACTCGATCCAGTGAAGACACTTCAGAGGAAGGCAGTGGGTTCCAACACGCACCCGCTCCCTCCAGCCCAAGTGTCCGGCCCAGACCACCCCCTGGGAAGCAGTGTCTCAGAGCCAGTAGCTGCACCCCCCACCCCGGGGACACACACAGGCGCCTCACTGGCTCCCAGCTTTCCTGCCTCAAATCTGTCCGAATGCAAAAGCCGACAGGCTGGCTGGGCCCTGCTGGGGAGCCTCAGACATGGGCATTTACACGGCTCAGCCGGCCCGAGGACCGCTGACTAAGTGACCAAGTGACCAGCCACAGCCAGACCAACTCTGCCTTCCCGAACAATCTTGCAGGCGGCTCCCCTGCCATGGGCACAACTGGGGGCCTCAGGGCCCTGGGCATGTCCACAGGGGCACTGCATGTCCTCCCAGGGCCTGCCCTCAGGGGGCACCCCCAGGGCACCCCCCACATCCCCCCACGCTCACCTCCAGCTCCGCCATCGTCACGATGCCATTGTGGTCAGCGTCGATCAGCTCCTCAAACTCCTTCTTCCTGTCTCTCACCCAGCTGTCGTCCATGTCCTGGCCCTGCTGATTCTCCACAGTGCCCACAGGCAGAGAGATGAACTCGGGCAGTGAGAGCTGCTTATCGCCATCCTGGTCTGCGGGACGAGGATGAGTGGACGCTCAGACCTCAAGTTGGCATGGGACCACAGAGAGCCACTCAAGAGAAGTCAACAAAATGGGTTTTGCCGCCCAATCATCAGTTTGTCAGCTGTTAGCCTAAACCCAAGGGGCGCGTCTCACTGGACCTGCTCGGAAACCGGCCCAGGCTGGACGGCACCCGCAGGGCATGACCTTCCCTTTCGAGGCCCCCCAGGCCAGGACCAGCCGACGCTGATCTCCCGGCAGGAGGACTGGCTGCACGTAGACAGGGGGCTCCACTGTCCAGGCCCAGTCACCAGAAGTGAGAACGCCCCGCCCTGTGCCAGGCCCCAGGCCTCACCCAAGTCGCGGACAATCTCCCGGACCATGAACTGGAGCATGCCGCGGCTGTGCTCGGGGTGGAGGAACGACAGGAACTCCTCCTCCGTCAGCAGCAGGTCTGATGGCGGCTTGTCCGCCTGGTACCAGCGGTCCTTGAGGTTCTCCAGGACTTCCTGTGCTGAGAGAGACGCAGCCGTGAGGACCTCAGCCTGGGAACACCTGCACGCATCCAGAAAGTTCCGAGACGCTGAATGCAGAGGCTGCTCGGGGCGTGGCAGTGTCCAAGTCCAAGAGCACTGCCCCTGGGAGGAGAGCTCAGCCCCGGAGAGGCAGATGGCACCCCAGCCCACCCCAGACACCGACACAGACAACCCAGACACAGACGCAGGCGCCCCCGGACACAGAGCCCCCCAGACACCAATGCAGACACCCCCAGACACAGAGCCGCCCAGACACCGATGCAGGCACCCCCAGACACAGAGCACCCCAGACACCGACGCAGGTGCCCCCAGACACAGACACCCCCAGACACTGATGCAGAGCCCCCCCAGACACTGATGCAGACACCCCCAGACACTGATGCAGAGCCCCCCAGACACAGAGCCCCCAAGACACCGACGCAGACAGCCCCAGACACTGATGCAGAGCCCCCCACTGATGCAGACACCCCCAGACACTGACACAGACACCCCCAGACAGATGCAGACCCCCCAGACACTGACGCAGACACCCCCAGACACTGATGCAGAGCCCCCCAGACACTGATGCAGACCCTCCCAGACAGTGATGCAGACCTCCCCCAAGCACAGACACAAACCCCCCGAGGTACAGATGCAGACCCTACACACACAGAGACTCAGACCTCCCCCCAACACACAAATCCTCTCCACACACAGACACCCCCCAAGACACAGACACAGAGCCCCCCAGACACAGATGCCCCCCACACACCCAGACGCAGATCCACCAGAAACAGGCACAGACCACCCAACACACACAGACCTCCCCACACACAGATGCAGACGCCCCCAGATACAGACACAGACTCCCCCCACACAGATGCCCCCCAGACAAAGACCCTCCCAAATACAAACACAAACCTCCCCACACACAGACACAGACGCAGACCCCCCAGCTGGCTGTGCTGTTTGCTCCTGGGGAGACGTGGAGGCGCCTGGAGAAGGCTGACTCACACTGACAAGTGTCCCGGGAACAGAGGCAGGACCCTGTCCCTCTCCACTCCCTTCCCGTCGCCGTTCGCGGAGGGCAGTTGCTGAAGGAAAACCCAGTTTCCAGACAGGACTCAAGCACCCCACTGATGCTCACGTGGCCCTCGCTCTCCCTCCGAGGGAAGGCCCATGCAGGCAGCGAGGAGTGCAGCCAACCACCGAGGGTCCCCTGGGGTCAGCAACTGTCCAGGCCCCCAACAGCATGGTTGATCCCATCGGCGGAGCAGCAGGTCCTGGCCAGGCACAGCAGTGTCTCTGCACTCTCATCCCGGGTCCCAACTCCAGCTTTAGCTGGGAACAGGGATGCCGAGGCCTGGGCAGTCAGAAGGAGGGGACGGCTGCACCCTACACAGTGCCTGTGGCCTTGCCTCTTATGCTTCTGACGAACAGAAGACCTCCGTGACCTACTTTCAAGTGGCAAATCCACCCAAAGGAAAAGGGGAGCGACCAGTTGCTCCCTGCCTGCCCCACTGCAGGGACAGGCATGAGGGGGCTGGCACAGACTTGCTATGTCTCCCTGGGGCCTATGAATGGACCTGATGTGGAGAAAAGGTCTCTGAGATGGCCCGGATTTAAGGTGGGCCCTGAACCCAATGGCAGGTGTCCTTGTATAAGAGGACAAACAGACACGGAGATAGGAGTGATGCAGCCACATGCAGGGACCCCAGCAGCACCAGAGGCTGGAGGGAGGCCTGGGACGGAGCCCCTCTGAGCCCCCAGAGGGAACCAGCCCCCTGTGTGGTGTGTAGCGACAGCAGCCCCAGGAACCCACACACGTGCACTGAGTGTCCCCTGAGGAGGCAGAGCTACCACTCGGTGACCCCTGAGCTCGCCTCCCAGCCCTGCCCCGCAGCGCTAGCTCCCCAGGGCCTCCCAGACGTGTGCCAGCTGCTCTTCACCTCCGGTCCCCCAGAACCACTCACCCCAGACTGCAAAAGGGAAGAAGGGATTTGTGAAACACTCAGGAGTGCTGGGATGAGAGCTGGACAGACAGGCTGAGGAGAGGACCCCACCTGGCTGAGAGGACGCCCAGGGGAACTGCCCCCTCCAGGTCCAAAAGGAGGACGGAGACGCCACGAAGCCCTTGATCCAGGAAGGACATGTCTCGACCCAGCCACACCCAGAGGGAACAGGCACCAAGACAGAGAAGCTTCCAAAAGCAGGTGGGAGAGGCGGCCGGCACCCTACGTCCCCACAGCCACCCCAGAAGCTAGTGCCACATCACCAACGCTAGCAGGAGGAGGACAGAGGCCCCCCAGGACCCCAGGCACCTCTAAAGAACACCTTCAGGGGACAGCCTGAACCACAGGACAAACACGTTTGAGAAAAGCAAGCAGCCCTTCAGAAAGAAAACCATCATGCCCAACGTATGGGGTCTAAAGAGGACGGTGCTGGACACCATCACGTGAGCCGAGAAGGGCTCAGCCCAGATGGGGCAGGGATAGATGAAGCTGTCAGATGTAAACAACTCCCCCCCGACACAGCCGTCAGGTCCCCACGCGGGTCACAGGGTATGCAGCCTCCGAGGAGGGGAGCTAAGGCTCTAACCCCACATCACCAGGGGGAAAAAGAAAGAAACTCTGTAAACGAGCTCAACTCACCTATCACCAAAAAACTTCAGACTGGCTCACCAAACAAAACTGAACCCTGTGGTCCATTAAAAAACAAAATGCAGGGGCCGGCCCGGTGGTACAACGGGTAAGTTTGCGCGCTCTGCTTCAGCGGCCCAGGGTTCACAGGTTTGGATCCCGGGCATGGACTGACACACTGTTTCTCAAGCCATGCGGTGGTAGCATCCCATATAAAGTAGAACAAGATGGGCATGGATGTTAGTCCAGGGCCAGTCATCCTCAGCAAAAGGAGGAGGATAGGCACAGACGTTGGCTCAGGGCTAGTCTTCCTGACCAAAAAGAAAAAACAAAAAACAAATGCTTCAGAAAAACCAGGACGGAAGGGCAATTCACTGTGAGTCCCACAAGCATGTGAGGAAGAGGCTGTGCCAACTCATTACACCTCCGTCAGAGGACGAGGCAGAGCGTCGGCCCAGCCACAACCAGACATAGGCATTGCAAGGGAAGAAACTGCAGACCAGCACCGCCCACAAACACAGATGCAAAAGTCCTCAACAAAATACTAGCATCAAATCCAAGAACGTATAGAAAGAATTACACACCACGACCACGTGGGCTTGGTCCCAGGTATGCACGCTGGTCCAACACCAGAAAATCAGTCAGTCTAACCCAGTACATCAACAGGCTACAGAAGGAAATCACACAATCACGTCAACAAAGCATTTGACAAAATCCAACACCCACTCACAACCAAAACTCACCGTAAACTTGGGAAAGAGGGAACTTCCCCACTTGATAAAGAGCATCCACAAACACCTACCGCCACCATCATGCCTAATGGTGAGAAACTCGAGGCTTCCCTCAACCAGGGACGAGGGAAGGACGCCCGCTTTCCGGTGTTATGCTGGAAGCGCTGGTTAGCACAGTGAGCGGGAAGAGGAGGAAGAGGTGCCCTGTGTGGGAAGGAGGGAACCAACGGTCTTTGTTCACAGACAGCATGACTGTCTACATAGAAAACCCAGAAGAATCCACAAAAACCCCTGGACCTACAAACCACGTAGAGCAGAGTTGCAGGATAGAAGGCTGACGCACAGAAGTCGTGACCTTCCACTACCAGCAAGGAACCCGTAGAATTGGGATTAAAACTAAAGAGCAAACGCAACCAGAAAGAAGGCAAGGACTGCAATTCTGCTGTGGGACAAGGGAGCCCAGTCCTAGGACACTCACCCACAAGGAGGGACAGCGGCCACAGCTCCTCCAAGAACACAACAGTAGTGAACACACGTGGACCAAAGAACATGGTGCAGCAGAGGAGGGAAGGGCAGCAGGCACACCAACCAGAGGCCACAACACACCCAACACGAGCGGCCAGTGGACACAGATGCCTCAGACAAACTCCTGCACACGTCCCTCAAGAGCAGACACCACGCCACACGGCAGGGATGATGACCGACCGTGTGAAGACAGAACAGGAGACGACGGCACCACACGCATGCGGGTAGAGCCCCAACAAGCCAAATCTGCCCACAGGCTGTGCCTGAGCCCCAGGGAAGGCGGGATGCACAGAGCCGAGGCAGAACCAGCGAAGGCCACGGCACTCCTCAGAGACGCCTGAGCACTTCGTCATTTCCCGTCAGTGACAGGATTTTTCAAGGGGTGTCCCTGAAGGCTGAGGGGGAGAGAATCCTGTCCTGAGCCCTGCACCACACCCGCCCGCACCAGCTCCCTCCAGCCTCCACATTCCTCACACAGATGCCCCCACCACCTTCACCAGCTCCGGGGTTCTGACACGTCCAGGGCTGAGGACCCTCCACCTGGCCGAGAACCGCCTCTCGCTGCTTCCGGCACCTTCAGCCACCTCCTCCCCAGAGCCTGAGCTCCCTCGAGGCCACCTGCTGCCCCCACCCACCCACCACGTCTGGAGGGGCCCGGGGCTCTGCCTGCCAGACCCTTAGGAGCCCCTGGCATCGGCATCCTCACGCACGGCAACGCACTTGCATGCAGGACCACAGCATGGCCACGCACTCACACACAAGGCCACACACACTCACGTGCAGCCACACACTCATACGCAGGGCCATGCATGCTCACGCGCAGCCACGCACTTGCATGCAGGGCCATGCACGCTCACGCAGGGCCACATGCTCACGTGCAGCCACGCACTCGCACGCAGGGCCACACGCTCACCTGCAGCCACACACTTGCACACAGGGCCACACACTCACATGCAGGGCCACACACGTTCACGTGCAGCCACGTACTCACATGCAGGGCCACACACACTCACACGTGACCACACACACGCAGGGCCGCTCACGCGCAGCCATGCACACTCACACGCGGCCACGCACTCGCATGCAGGGCCACGCACGCTCACACGTGGCCACGCACTCACACGCGCAGCCATGCCGGCCGCGGGAGCCTGGGCACTCACTCTCCTCGTCGATTTTCAGCTCCTCGTTGTTCTTTATCTTCTCAGCAACTTCTCTTTCCTTGTGGCCTTTGCTCGCCAAGAACTTCACCTTATACTCATCCCATGACACACGGCCTGAAAGAGCAGATCAACATGTTAGGATGTTTAACAATGAACATTTTTAAAAAGAAATATTTAATTATTTTAAGACATTTGTCAAAAATCCTTGAGGGCCGGCCCCGTGGCTTAGCGGTTAAGTGCACACTCCGCTGCTGGCGGCCCGGGGCTCAGATCCCAGGCACGCACCGACGCACCGCTTCTCCGGCCATGCTGAGGCCGAGTCCCACATACAGCAACTAGAAGGATGTGCAACTATGACATACAACTATCTACTGGGGCTTTGGGGTAAAAAATAAATCAATCAAACGATAAAAAAAAAAATCCTTGTGCTACAGGCAGCTGTAGAGGCAGAACCACCAGAGCAGCCAGCTCCAAACATCCTGCCAGGGCCCCAGGTCTAAGAGGTGGAGCAGCCAGCGCCCTGCACCCTCGTCCTCACCAGCAAAGCGAGAGGGGGATGTCTGTCTCTCTGGCGCTGCCAGTGAGGGGCCCCTCCTGGCTCTCACCTCTCCATCCCTGGTCCCTCGGCTGGGAGTCCCCTCCGCCCTCCACGCACCGCCCTTCTCCTGGCAGCCTCAGGCCCATCAAGGTCAGGGTGGGGTGGGCCATACCATCGCCGTCGGGGTCCACAGCCTGGAAGTGAAGCTTGCTCTCCGCGATGGCCTCCTGGAAGTGCTCAGCTGTCTTCTCCATGATCCAGTGCTGCATCTCCTTGGCACTGATCCTCCTGTCGGTGTTCACATCCACCCTGCGGGCAGACAAGTGATGTCAGACAGTGCTCCCAGACCCTGACACACAGACGGATGGGTGGACAGGAGGATGGCCAGGGGCTCCACAGGCAGCCGTGAAACCGCCATGAACAGCGACAGTCCACCCAACAGTGACACCAGAAACATCGAGGGATGTTGGGGGATGCTGGGGGACACAGGGGCATGAAGGGACGTCAGGGGTAGTCAGGGAACATTGGGTTTGCTCTGCAGCTGCCTCTCAGCGTCTACCCCATCAGTCTCGGGACCACTGGGAAGGTGAATGGACTCTTCCCTCACTGCATGACCACAGAACCTCAACCCAGTTCCACAGCCCACTCGGCACATGGGCCCAACGAGCCCCCATAACAGGGTTAGAGCTGAGACCCTAGGGTGAAGCCATGTTTACTTATGTACACACAGACAGCTAGACAGAGACACAAGTATGTGCATGCAGGGTATGCTCGGCTAGCACACGCTCACGTGCATACACGGGTCAGCAGTGCTTGTGTGTACACACCGGCTGCTGCACATGTGTACACGGATTGGCACACACACATATGCATACACAGGTTAGTTAGCATGCGTATGTTATCCAGCTCTGCCCGAGCGACCACAGGCAGTGACGGCCCTGCAACAACGCGCACGGCCAGGGCCAGGGCCTGGCTTCTGAATGCCACCCTCCAGCAAGAGAAACCGGCTCCTTGGAGAATGGCTGATTCTAGGGCTGAGGCAGGGACAACACAACGAGCCTGGAGCGTCTGCAAGTGCCCGACAAACAGCAGGACGGGGCACATCACAGGGACACAGGGGCCAAGTGAAAGAGCTCCCGATGGCCAAAGCTGGAACATCGTGAACAGCAAATACACAGCACAGCGCTGGACCACAACCCAAGTGTACAACACACCTCCCCAGTCCACCCTGACAGGAGGAAATGATCCATCCATCAACACATGGGCAAGAGAGCCCCTCCTCACAGAATTCCACACAAGGCAGCTGACCTTCCCTGTGGGAGGCGGAGCTCTACTCCCACTCTGGAAGGTGGGCTGCTCAGGGAGCGGCTGCCAGAGAAGACAGGAGGGACAGGACAGGGAGCCACTCGAGAGGAGACACCTGGGACGCCACCTGACCCAGTGCCCCAGTCGACATCCCCTCACACCATGTGACCGGAGGGCCAGCTTACCCCTGGGGTCTTCTTTCCAGAAGCCCACAACCTCAGTCTAACCACAAGGAAACACGGCAGACAAACCCAAGGTGAGGGACCTCCTACAAAAGCCCTGAGCAGTCCTCCTCAAGACTGTCAAGGTCGTGGGCCGGCCCTGTGGCTTGGCGGTTAAGTGCGCGCGCTCCACTACTGGCGGCGCGGGTTCAGATCCCGGGTGTGCACCGACACACCGCTTCTCAGGCCATGCTGAGGCCCTGTCCCACATACAGCATCCAGCAGGATGTGCAACTATGACGTACAACTATCTACTGGGGAGCTTTGGGGGGAAAAAAGGAGGAGGATTAGGCAATGGATGTTAGCTCAGAGCCGGTCTTCCTCAGCAAAAAGAGGAGGATTAG